CAAAATAAAAGTCCAAACTAAATAATAATAATAATCATCTTACTTCAACATTCAAAAGTCAAACATTAATGCTTTCTCTTTGCATTTCTGCTAACAGCCCAATCGCCCACCTGCAAAACCACTGCTGTCAAGCCTCCAGGGCAGATGGCTTCACTGACAAAGAAGATGGCCAAGTACAAAGAATGGCAAAAGGGAAATATATGTTAACATTTACAAAAGCATATGGCCCCTGTTTGATTAGGAAAATGAGTTTTATAGCAATGGTAAGAAAATGAATTCAAATTCAACTACCTGGCTTGGTCACTTCAAAATAGTTTCCAAAATGTATAGGATAAATTTTTTTAACATAAAGCTATTCATGGTATGTATGCATTTATAGATATAACTTAGCTGTGAATTCTTGTAATTCCTGTAGCAGTATTTGAATTACTGTAACCAAGAAATTTCCCTCAACAGACCACATTACAGAAAAATACACAATATTCTACCTTTGGGATTAATGGCAAATACTTAGGAGGAGAGATGGAATCCCAATTGACAGGCTGATGAAATAGGTAAGTTATCTTTTCTGTTGGCACGTTATGGGTTGAATTGTGTCCTCCCAAAAAGATACATTGGAAGTCCTGGCCCACAGTATCTCAGAATATGATCTTGTTTGGAAATAGGGTCTTTGCAGATATAATTAAGTTAAAATGATGTCATTAGGGTGTGCTCTGATCCAATATGACTGGTGGCCTTATGAAAAGGGGAAATTTGGACACAGAGACAGACATGCGCAGAGGGGAGATGGTGTGAGGACAAATGGAGAATGTCTGAGCCATGTGACTTTAGCAGAGAGAGGCTGGGCGTGGTGGCTCACATCCGTAATCTCAGCACTTTGGGAGGGCGAAGTGGGAGCATTGTTTGAGCCCAGGAGTTTGAGAATAGCCTGGGCAGCATAGCAAGACCCTATCTCTACCAAAAAAAAAAAAAAAGTTTAGGAGAGAGACATGAGACAGATTCTCCCTTACAGCCCTCAGAAGGAACCAATCCTTTGCCTCATGAACTGTGCGACAATAAATTCGGTTGTTTAGGCCATGCAGTCATGGTACTCTGTTACAGCAGCCTCGGGAAACTAAGGCAGGTGCTGACTCTAAAACTGCGTCTTGCTATGTTTTGAAATACCTGTGAATGTACAAATTCAGCCACTACCTGTACCACATTGCAAGGCTGTAACATGTTCTTTGAGAGAAAGGAAAACAGGCATTTTCAAATCCTCACATTCCCGGATAAGTCAGATGTGCTGTCGTAACTTCCCAGGAAGAAAAGAGACTCTGTGGGCAGAGAGCACAAAAGATACCTAGAGCTGAGGCTGGAGGAAACTGAAGACAGAGCTTGCATAGCTGAGAACTAGGGGAAAAACAATCAGAAAACAACTTCCTGCAGAAACACAAAATATCTGAATGGAATAAAAATGATTCCCTAAGAAGACAACTGTCAGAAAACGGAAGATTTCAGACCACGAAGAAGAGAAACTCCCCCCCACCTCCCCTGAAGACGGATGTGTGTTTTAAAAGAGGGAGAAATCTACCAGCAGTAGTTGAAAATTAATCATGTAGAAAGATGTCTTTATCAAAGCCATTTCATTTTTTAAATTAGATATTCTCATGGGAATATACTTAAAACTGACATTCACAAACATCTACTCACAGATGCGAATGTTCAGTCAGTTCTCACTGAACAAATAGCTCCTACCTCACCACCCAATCAACAAAACACACAGCATCCGCTACTGTACTTGGTCAAAACTCACTGCTGCTACCTGGTGGCAACATGCACCTACTGAAGAAGCAAACTAACACATCAGGGGCCCTAGTGCAAAAGGCCCCTAGCACAATATACTGTGACAACGGTCACCCTTGACAAGCATGTCATTCAGGAAAACAAGAATACATAGTGAGAAATCCATTGGGAAGAAGGAAAGGTACAATTTTCAAGAATGTCCCAACCATGGAAATATAGCTTCTTAAAAAGAGCTGAAGAAAGAAATTTTTTTCTTATTGGCACAGTGAGTTGCTCAATGTCAGAATCTGAGCGACGATAACTACAAGACAACCTAACGTCTCATCGATCTCTACATATTTTACTCTCTACATAGGAATGTAGTAGTTTTCAACAGTGTATTTCTTAGAATCCCATGAAATAAGGTCTACTCCATGAAGGAGTGTGCCTCGGCATCACTCAGCACACCCATGGCTGTGCCAAACTGGCTGGTCTACACTGCCTTGTCTTCCCTCTCGGGGGTGAAGCCACATCTTCCATTTTTCAGACCAGCTGCTTCTGGTTGACTAGGATGGAAAGAGACAGAAGGAAATGCAGGGACACAGGGCTGACTGCCACCGGTGACCTCACACATATTTTAACCTCCCACTCAAAGTACAGCCATTACTCAGCTGTGTGATGGGTCAGGAAGAGACGGATGGAAGCAAAGAGCTCCTCATCTCAGCAACAACGCGGGCTGGGAGATACTGCAATGTTCGGAATCAAAACATTTTTTAAAAAGTAACTGATGGAAAAGGCTATTTCCTAGAAACACATACTATTTGGACAAACTCCCAAGTCAGGGAAAAACAACATCAGAGTCATTCTTACTTAATCACAAATGTCTCCAATTGTGCCAAATTCTGTCCCACCAAGCACACGGCATCCACCAAAGAACACAGCCGTGGCATGAAATGAGGCTCCACGTAACAGACTAGTCAGACAGTGGTGTGCAACACCTTCTCTGATAGAGATACATACTTTACAAACCTATTGCATGTAGAAAGATCAAAAGCTTTCCAGGAGTTGAAGTTAAAGTCCAGAACTGTTTACCAAGCCTGAGAGCTGGTCCTCAGAGGAAGGAAAATAGCAGACTGAAGTACTGGTTCAGACTGTGCAGGTTTAAAATGCTGTTAAAATGTACTCTATTAAGAGGTTAATATATAATTTGGGCAAGAATGTATAAAATAAATTTTAATTATGCATGTGATATGTGAAGGTATTCTTCTTTTTAAAAATTATTTTAAGAATTACATATTACATTTACCCCTTCTAAAAGCACCACTGTTGTTTTCAGTGGTTTCATGTATCTTTCCAGTATTAAAAAAATGTATGAGTACACACATATACATACGTAGGTGTGTGTATACACGCAGTGGTCCCCAGTGTTTTTGGCACCAGGGACGGGTTGCATGGAAGACAATTTTTCCACAGACAGGGGTGGGGCTGTGTGGGGCAGCCGAGCTCAGGTGGTGATGCTGACATTTGGCTGGTCATGCTGCAGGGAAGAACATAGATTCTCTGAGTAGTAATTAGAAGAGAAAAGAGACTGTGTGCGTATTTTCTACTTGAGAATCAAATGGGAAGGCCTTAAGGAGAGCAAGACAAGCACAGAATTTATGCCACAACAGATCAGAGAGAGAACAGAAAGAAAGATGATGCTATGACTTCCCCAAAACCTTTCACACTGTGACCATCTAAGAATAGTGGGTCAGTGCTTTAAGGATCTGACACAGAAGTCACGAGCTTAAATGTTTATAGAGGCTAGGCAGATGAGCGAATGCCTGAAGCAGGATGAATGGCAGCTGACAAATACGCCTTAACGTTAAGGATGCAACAGGGAGTGGTGTGGACCATGGCAAACTAGGAAGAGAGTGTCTCCATGAGAGAGCAGCTGCCACCCAGCTGCAGCCAATTGTTGCTATGGTAAAATGCAAGCTAGTCGTCAGATTTTCCCATTTTTAAAAAGAAGCAGATAAAAACCCTGATATTTTTATGTCCAAATCTCTTGATTTTAAAATGTTGAATGTTTAAAATCTGAAGTTTCAAAAACAAAACAAAACACTGCATTTGGCTGGTCACACTGCAGGCTGCATTTAGATCTCAGGAATTTGGATCAGTTCAAAACTCTCATCTACCTCCGTACATACTCCTCTGCTGACACTGATGTCTCAAACATTTTTTGACAAATTAATATGTGTGACACAGACAGTTCTTTGAAAGTATTGAGAGGTTTTTTTTTTTTCCTCCCACACATGAAGATATTACTGGCAATTACAGCTATTTTCTGATTTCTGTTTACATTTTGGAATGAGTTTCTGAAAAGGGATAGGGCAAAACCACCCACTGAATTATCTTTTTCTGTTCATTTCTTAGGCATTTTCAAATGTATCAGAAGAGTTTCAAATTGTATCATCTCGGAAATACACTGGCCACTGCATTTCATGTCCTCTGAGTGAGGGAAGATGCTCCAGGCTCACCCAGAGAGGGGATACAGGCTTGTGGTTCCAGGAAAGAAGAGTTCTTCTGTGGGTACCTTACAACAGGTGCCCATAATAAAACCTCTGGGGAAGAAAACCCTGATCCTGAACGAGCCCACTGCAAGGCTGCACATTCTAAGGGCTGAAGGTAGAAGTAAATATCCCTTAAGGATAATGGTCTTAAAGAAGGATGAGGAATGAGCCTCTGTCCTCTCTGTCCTCCTTTGCAAGAAGAAACGCAGTGGCACGATTTGGGTTTAGGATGTGGTATGTTTAACCACTAGCCATTTTCACCAAACTCCATCCAGAGGTTTGAAACTGAATACAGCTACATGGGAGACTGAGTCAAGAGGATCACTGGAGCCCAGGAGTTTGAGGCTGTGAGACAACATCATAGCCACTGCACTCCAACTCTGGTGACATAGTGAGGCACTATCTCTTTAAAAACAAAACTGAACACAGCAACTAGAGATTATAAATACAAAATCAATCTTTCCTCTACAAAAATGAAGTTTGTTTCTTAACTATCAGCGTTTAGGAGCAGAAACTTGAGAGTGATGAGCGATTTTTAGGAAAAAACTGCTAAGACGGACGCATTAATGATACCTGCGCTATCTAGAAACAATCACTGATGACCTCCTGCTAAACAAACTTACTGTTTTTAAGATCAACATGTTCTGAGCTTCAGAGGCATGCCGTTTCTGAAGAGGATCATCCTACCTTGAAGATGAAATCAGCCATCAGAGGTCCTGCAATCTTAAAGGTTTGCCTCTCTGAGCCCCTCTGGAACTCAACTGTTGTGTTCTCTACAACAAAGACTCCAGGGCTGCTAAAGCTGTGCTCTCCTTTGCTTCCTTGAAGGGTCTTAGATTCAATAACTGAAATTAAAAAATAAAATTCAAATAAGAAACTATCTCAAAGGCATTTTATTTCCAAAGACATTTTACTAAGTCCGATACCAGCATATGATAACAACACGATATCAAAATACCCATTCTGTTTACAAACCCTGACTCATCTTGGTAGATCAGATATGTCAGATGTTTAGTTGCCCGTAAAAAGGAGTTAACGGGGTGGTAGGCCCAAATAAGTCTACTCAATTCTTCGTAGCCATTTCTACCATAAGGGGAAAGGGAAAACCTTTCTTTATATTTTCTCATGATATAACTAACACTCAAAATAAAGCTAAGTTTACTCACTTTATTACCTATTCAGAAGTCTTAAGCCTAGTCTTTTATTTAGACAAAACCACACTGTATCTCAAATTTGCTTTTTTTAAACAAAACTTTTTATTTTGAAATAATTATAGAGTCACAGAAAGTTTCAAAAATAATATAGAGAGGTCCTGTGTAAACTTCATCCAGTTTTTTTGTTAAAATGGTAAATTTCATTTTATATATAATTGACCACTAGAAAGAAATAACCATAAGGATATTCTGTTTTTCTCCCAAACTGTCACATGTTCAAATCAAGACCGTCTGAAATTAAAAACAAACAAAAAACAGCCACTAACAAATCGTGAAACTCCTTCAGCATATATATCACATCAAATGTATCAACAAAAACTGTCTCAGGCAGATATTAGTGCCATTCCCTCCCCAGACCCCAGGGGTTACAGGGATGGACCAGCCAAGTGGACCAAGGTTTGCTCAAACGTGCTGAGAGATATTTATGACCAAGTTGAGTGTCCCTAAAGACTCTACCTTTTCGACATGTAGATCCTATTGCCTCAGTTCCTGAGTCTTGTAAAAGTTGAGTACCCCTAACCCAAAAATCCAAAATCCAAAACTTTTTGAGTGTTGATATGATGTTCAAAAGACATGTTCATTGGAGCAGTTTGGGTTTTGGTTTTTCGGACTTCATCCAGTTTTGCCCAATGGTTACATCTTATGAAACTACAGTACAGTATCAAATCCAGGAAACTGACATTGGTGCAATGTGTGTGTATAGTTTGACTCCATTTTATCATACACCACCACCATCAAAATACAGAACCATTCCATTGCCACAAAGATCTCCCTAATGCATGCTGCCCCTTTATTCGAATTTGTTTTTATGTGAATGGAAGTGCTTTTAAGATCTCCTACAGAAAAAATGTTTGCCCACGGTTTGAACAAAATAGCATTTCCACTTACTTAAATTTCTTTCTTTTTTCCTCTTTTTTTTTTCTTTCTTTTATTTTGTAAGTGTCACCATACTTAGTAAACCTGGTCTGAGGTTGAGAGGCAATATAAACATACACAGGTAGGTGCTGGGGCACCTGCGTGTCTGGCTCCAGCTCTTTCTCTAACTTCTGTCTTGGGTTTTCATTGCCTTGTTTCTGAAATGAGGATTCAGAGTGCACAATCTCTCATGTCAAACTCTACTCTGAAATCTACACTTGATACAGTGGTATTGTGTCAGTCATTAAAAATCCTAAACAAAGGACACAAAAGAACCAAGACTCCGCTCAGTTTCAAACTTAAAAATGGCAAGATGATAAAACGCGACAACATGGTCTGGCATCAGGGAGCTTCAACCCATGTGCTGCCGGGCTTTGGTTATTTTCATCTGCTGGATTTACTCTCTGCCACTGGAGCGGCTGCAGGAATTCCAGCGCCCTGGACAGACTGCATAACAGGCATTAGGAGACATCCCTGATTATCCCTGACAGGCAGGCTGGGAACTTTTCTGGGAGAATTCAAAGGCTGGACAAGAGCTACTTGGTCTGGAGGAGTCATTAGTGGTCGGAGAATAATGCTGGCTATTTTCAGGCACACAAAACCCCAACCACTTTGGCCCTGATCTCTGTGACCGCAGTAGATTTTTGGAAAGTGTGACATTAAATTCATTTCCTAGTTCCAATGAAGATATAAAACTGAGTGTTATAAAGTGAGTTGTCAGTAAAAACGAGATGGGAAACTGGAGATAGTAAGTGGGCCCTACACTGTATGAATCAGATCTCTAAAGTAAAGGAGAAAAAACAGCAAGCATTAGAGCAACAGCAAAACACAAAATGAAGCTGGACACAATCCATCCTCACAGAAGGCATGCAGAACACCAGGCTCTCAGACTGAGACTCAGGCTGAAATGGCTTGATTACATTCACATAGTGTGCGATGGATTCCGCGGCTGTGTTGGGTGGTAATTGCTTTACCACTGTGCTAACGTTCTGGAGCACAGCTTTCCAAGTTTCATCAGGATGCAAAGATGGGGAAGGGGGTGTAAGAATCTGGGAAGGCAATAGGGGAGGAAGAAAAGACCAGTTGCTATGACATCCATCCCCTAAACCAAAGGCCAGCATTTCTATTACTTTGGTTTTGGTGTTTGTTCTTAATATAGAGTCTATTCTACTATTTCAACAGTGTCTAAGATTTTCAGTGACAAGGATATAAAAACACAAGCAGCAAAAACAATTTTCGAGTGCATGTAAATTACCCAAACCACTCTTCTTCTCCACTGGACTCTATGCCTATTGTAAAATATCTTTATTTTATTTATTTCAACAGGCTTCCAGTGCATAGAGCACAAACACTGGTTGCACATCTAGTATGACAGGTAGAAAGCAGGTGCTTTGACCTCAACTGTGTAAACAAGTAAGCAGAGTCAGAGTGGGTGAATAAAGCCTGGTGAAGTGATTTGAGGAAGGTTGAGTTGACAGAGGCAGACAATGCTGATAATTTGGATTAGCAAAGCCACTATGCTGAATCCACAGTGAAGTAGAGGCCACTGTAGTTCTTCAAAAGCTGTCATTTTTACTGGTGGCAAACTTTCTTCTCCTTAGTGTCTGTGTTGCTTAAAATAAATGACAGAAAAGGAGTTTGTGGTTTTTCAATCAGCAATTCAGATGAGGACTTACGGATATCTCTGTTAAATTTGTATTAATTTCTACCATCTCCGTACATTTACTACAGCCCCATGTTGGGACAGCGTGAGATGCATGGCTAGCGAGAGCTGCACACACCGGCCCTTTGGTTCTCAGAGCTTTCACGACCCCCTCTGTGGTTCCTGCAGCAAAGTGGTTAGTGCTTAGGAGACCCCAGGACAACCATAAACACTCACACCACTGTTAAGGGAAAAGAGTATGAACCTTCTTCCTTGCTGCCCACTGCCCACATTCTTTCTCCTCTCCAGGCTTACTATTCCAGGGGTTGGAGAGAGTGGGGAATGGCAGGTGGAGGGGAGGAAGTGTTGGGGAAGACATGATAGGTATCCTCAAAAAGGGTGAAAACTAGAATCAGAAATCAAGATCTTCTTGTATCCCCAACTCAAGTCTCTAATGATACCTTTAAATATTTTAATCCATACTAGCTATTTTTAAAAGAAATGATGACTAGAAAGATGATGAATGCTTCTAATTGCTTCTAGTTGAAGGGCTTGCATTGAGAAGTATCAGCTCTTTCAAAACAGGCAGGGTCATGGTCACCATCCACAAGAGCCCTCCTTAAATTCTAAAGGCCATGGAAACACTGTTAGGTAAACGTGCAATGAGCATTTAGCACAGCGAATGTGGTTAACCCTACATCAAACTTACGCTTACAGTAGAGCTGTATTTTTATAGTATATGTTCATTTCATTCAGCATCAACTCCCTTTGATTGGCCATCTTGCACAGTTCCCATATTTATATACATACATCTCTGCATACGGTCATCGGACAGAACTTAGAAGAAAAAATATTCTTCCAAATGAAATGGAGGTTTTCAGTTTATGGCATCTTGGCTTCTCAAGTTTATTACTAGTCAAATACACTTAATGCTGAAGTTTTGTTACAGTAAAATGTCTTTTACAGGGATCCTCGTTACTGGAGAGTTATAGCTAATATGGATGTTAAAAGAATGATTTATTACTACAAAATGAGCTTCACTTCAGAAATATTTCTTCTACAAATAAAAATTAAGAAAACAGTTGTATAGATTAAGAAAATAAAGCTGCTTCTATATTTAGATATTCAGATATGTTAACTAAATCCTTTGTAAATGAAGCCAGTTCTATTCATCAGTCAAGAGGGATAACTTTCAGAAACACTTCTAGTGCCAACTGTGAGATTGTTCAGAAGGAGAAATATTCCAAGTAGCAGATCTGTCACTTTGGAGAAATGGGAAAATTTTTGAGCCCTATTCTTGGAAGAGTGTCTGCTTGAGTGTAGTTATGTTGAATATGCCAGAACATATACACATGTAAATGAATTTTTGCCTCGAAGTATTCATCTTGACTTACTCTATTCACTGTTTACTTATTCTGTTTTTATAACTTAAAAAAGCTATTTTTGGAGTTCAATTTGGGGGAATTGCCTTTAATATCATGAGAATATCAGGCCCAGTCACTACATTTTTTTTGTTTTCTAAACATCGTTTTGATATATAATTCATAAGCCATAAACTTCACTCATTTAAAACGTATAATTTAATGTTTCGTTATACACACAGAGTGAAGCCATCACCACGATCTAAGCTGAGAACATTTTTGTCACCCCCAAAAGAAACCCCACACCCATTAACCAGGCAATCACCAATCTATTTTCCACCTCTATAAATTTGACTATTTTGGATGTTTTTTATAGATGGAATCATATAATAAATATGTGGCCTTTTACAATTGGCTTCTTTCCCTGAGCATAATGTTTTCAAGGATCATCCATGTAGTAGCCTATATCCGTATTTTATCCCTTTCCATAGCCAAATAATATTTTACATAAGTCACATTTTATTATTCATTCAACAGCTGAATGGACTTTTGAGCTGTTTCCACTTGGTGGCTGTTATGAACAATGCTACTATGACTATTCAAGACTTCACATTTTTGCATCCAAGATATTTTACAATGTGATTACTTAAATGATTCACAAAATCTGGATCTGAATGATTTTTACCTGTTTCCAAAAATCATGTTTGTATTCATAAGGATGAAGATTTGTTCTCATCTAGAGCTGTGGGATTTGAAGCCATTTAAAAGAGAAATTTAAAAAATGTTTTGATGCTTCACTGCAAAGAAAACCTTGAATGAAGTGACCATTATATGGCTGTAAACATTTTAGTAATTTTTTTTAAAAAATGAGTCACTCTTTTACTCATAAATTACATGGTAACGTTAAGGGTAAAAACAGGCTTTTGAGTAACTATGTATCTTCACTGTCACAAAAATATTCTCTTGCTTCCCTAATGTGGACCATAATGTACTATAGTATAGCATTTCTTTTTTTTTCCCTAAGATTTTAATCTGATGGTGACCTTAAACATTTTTTTTTAAACATTTTGTTATAAACTTTTCTCAAAGGACATTTCTGGCTGAAATAATAGTTCTGGATCCAAAATACACACACACACACACACACACACACACACACACACACTCACTTGAAAGCTACCAAAAATGTGAGATGCTCCTGGCCCTGAGAAATTTCTATGATTTAAAAATTTAAGATGATGGTCCAGGAAAAAAAGAAAAGGCAAGTATATAGCTTTGATTCAATGGACCTTGCTTTGAGGGTCAGTATGGCACAGACCATTTTCTGTTGACCACAACTAAGAAAGTCCTGTCAGTGGCCACAAGGAGACCTTGGCAGAGAAGGAGACAAACGTTGGCAGTTCCAGTTCATTTCCCCACTCCCATGAGGGATTAATCCCAAACAGGTATGTTTTCCATGAGGGCATCAGAACTGAAAAATTAAGGTTACAGTATAGATAATTTCCCTAGTGATACAGACTGTTTCAGGTGATGGGCAAAATCCCTGAGATATTTGTCTTCTTACCTGTTAACTCAGAGAAAGGTTTTTTGTTGGTTGGTTCCATTTCACGGTTTTAGCTAACTAAATGTTCAGGAAGTTTAAAAATGTTAAGATTAAATTTTACTTACAGAGGTGGGCAGGTCCTTTCACTGTAATTCTCACACTTCGACTTCCCAAAGGAACAGCAATTACATTTTCTTCTCCTAGGAAAGAACAGAAGACGGATGTATTAACAGTAAAACTTGTGCACTAAAGAACCACGAAAATCAGCAAGTCAGTCAATCCTGGGGCATCTGCAGTGCCCTTCACTGTATGCATCTAACAGTCAAGAAATCTCTGGAAAGCATCAACTATGTGTAAGGGCGTTTTTGCTCCACAAACGCAAAGTTTAGTGGCAATGGAGACAATACAGCTCACAAAGCCTGAAATATTTATTAACACTGTCCTACCTAACCTGTCACAGAAAAGTTTCATGACCCCTGGCCTGGATAATTGCCTAGTTGAAATCCTGGTCCTCATGGATGTGTTTTCATGCTGTTACATATTTCGATGAGCTAATTTTTATGCCCACATAATAATCTAAGCTCATATATGAAATTTTATCTCAGTATCCCCTATCTGAATACTGTTTGTTTCTAAATGATCCTGAAACATTATCAACAACATGAATTACTTGGAACAGATGTTGTTTTTTGTTTAACTTAGAAAGAATAACTTTTTTGGATAAACTTTCCAGAGCGAAATTGGTGGAGTACAGGATATCCATATATTTATTGAGTAATTTGTAATTTTTTATTAAATAAAAATACATGTTCGCTATTGAAAATTAGAAAATGCAGATAAACAAAAAGACAAAATGAAACTATTTCTAATCCTATTGCCCAGAGAACATCACTTCTAACACTTTGATGAATGTCCTTTCCAGATTTTGTTTTTAATATATATACATGTAAATGGAAACAATGAACTCTACCTAAATGACCATCAATATGGGAAAGGTTAAATCAACAAGTATATCCATACTAAGGAATACTCTGCAATCAACAAAAGTAATGATAAGAAGCTATATGACCTGGTGTGGAAAGAATGTCAATATATATACTTATGACTTTAAAAAACGAGTTAAAAAACAATGTACATGGGCAATGATTTCTTGTGTATGACACCAAAAACACAGGAAAAAAAGGCAAAAAGACATATCAAAATTAAGCTTTTCTATATCAAAGGACACTATCAACAGAGTGAAAAAGCAACTCATGAAATGGGAGAAAACATTTGCCAATCACAAATCGAATAAGGGGTTACTATCTAGAATATATAAAGAACTTCTACAACTCAACAACAAACACCAATCAACCCAATTTAAAAAAAAATGGGCAAAGGACTTGAATAGACATTTCTCCAAGAGGATATACAAATGGCCAATAAACATATAAAAATGTTCAATATAGCTAAGTATTAGGCAAATGCAAGTCAAAACCATAATGAGATATCACTTCACACCCATTAGGATGGCAATTATAAAAAATAACAAAACAAACAAAAAGTAACAAGTATTGGCAAGGATGTGTAGAAACTGGAACCCTTATGAACTGTTGGTGGATATGTAAAATGGTACAACTACTACAGAAAACAATATGGCATTTCCTCAAAATATTAAATGTAGAATTGCCATCTAATCCAGCAATTCCACTTTTGGGTTTATACCCAAAAGAACTGAAAGCAAGGACAGAAACAAGATATGGGTACATTCATGATCATAGCGACATTATCCACAATAGCTCAAAGGTGGAAGCAACCCAAGTGCCCGTCCATGGACGAACAAATAGATATCATGTGGCACATACCTACAGTGGAATATTATTCAGCCTTAAAAAGGAAGGAAATCTGACACATGCTACAACACGGATGAACTGTGAAGACATTATGCTAAGTGAAATAAACCAGTCACAAAAAGACAAATACCAGGCCGGGCGCGGTGGCTCATGCCTGTAATCCTAGCTCTCTGGGAGGCCGGGGCGGGCAGATTGTTTGAGCTCAGGAGTTCGAAACCAGCCTGAGCAAGAGCGAGACCCCGTCTCTACTAAAAATTAGAAAGAAA